GTCCCGCCCCTTCCCCCAGTCAGTCACTCGCGGTCCCGCCCCTTCCCCTGTCGGTCACACGCGGTCCCGCCCCTTTTCCGTCAGTCACTCATGGTCCCGCCCCTTTTCTCTGTCAGTCACACACTGCCCCGCCCTTTTCCCTGTCAGTCACACACTGCCCCGCCCTTTTCCCCTTCCATCTCACGAAGCCCTGTCCCTTCCCCGTCAATCACTCACAGCCCCACCCCCTCCCGGTCGAAAGTCACACCGCAGCAGGTTACAGTCCAAACAAAAACCGAAAGAACTGCAAATGCTGTAAATCAGGAACAAAAAAAGTTTCTGGAAAAGCTCAGCAGGTCTGGCAGCATCTGTGAAGGAAAAAAACAGCTAATGTCTCAGGTCCGGTGACCCTTCCTCGGAACTGGTTACAGTCCACCAGGTTAACTTGAAATCACAAGCTTTCTAGGCACTGCTCCTTCATCAGATGACTGCACCTGACTATAACCTAGTGTCGTGTGACTTCTGACCTTGTCCACCCGAGTCCAACAGGGGCATCTCCACATCAGGCCTTCACCTGTCAAACACTGTTCGTGCTGCCCTCTATTATACAGCTACACACTCCACCCCTTTCCCTATCAATCACTCACCCTCTTGCCAATTAGCCATTAGTAAATTATTGTAGAATGCAATCCATACAGTATACATACAGCCATTTGGCCCAACAAGTCTACACCATCTCTCTGAAAAGCATCCCACCCAGACTCATCCACTACCCTATCACTGTGTTTCTGAAAATTAACCTACCTAACCTACACATTCCTGAACACTATGGACAACTTAACACAACCAATCCACGTAACCTGCACATCTTTTGGACTGTGGGAGGACACTGGAGCACCCAGAGGAAACCCACACAGACAGTCACCCAAAGCTAGAATTGAACCCAGGTCCCTGGTGCTGCAAGGCAGTAGTGCTAACCACTGAGCCAAGGTTGCAGTGCCTCCTGGAAACAGTTCCTGTTAATTGATTAGAAGAGCCACCTTGGGTCAAGAGTATAAACAGTTTTGGAGAGTTCAAGGGCTGCTTTCAGCACTGGCAGCTCATTTTCACCCAGTCACTGTCCCCGTTATCAGCTTTTTTCCTTCCTTGGCTTACTCAGTCTTTCACCTACCTAACTTTCTTTCTCTGGGCACCATCTCCGCCTATATGCCAGCATCCCCCCACTCCACCACCAGCATAAAATACTACTTTTCCTAGCTACTGTCAGGTCTGAAGAACGGTCACTGGACTTGAAATGTTAACTTTGCTTCCTCTCCACCGACGCTGCAGGACATGCTGCGTTTCTCCAGCAATTTCTGTTTTTATTTGAGACTATTCTATCTCATGCCATATCTCCTTTTTGTGGGAGTCAGAAATTCTAACACAGTCTTACTCACCTTCCCCAAAGGTGTCATAATCTGTAGTCGTCACAATGAACCTCAGTGATCGTTTAAAGTGTGACTTATAATAATGCTGGAGTTCGGTGATTTGGGGGAAAAAGAAAAGCAGTACACTTTGCTGTGCTCTTGACTTTTTTAACATCCAGGAATTGATTCCTATTCTGCTACAGGAGAAGCTAATTATTCAGTTAGTATCTGGTAAATGATTAAGAAAAAAATCTATTCCCAAGATTCATAATAATACAGCAACTGGTGGTCAAGTTAATAAAATATATGAACTACTTATGAAGATAATTAGAAAACATTAAGGATGGAGCTGGCTGATGTGGCACAGCTGCCATCTTTGGGAATTCCTGGATGACTGTTTGGAGCAGGACAACATGTTAACAGTAAATCAGAGTCATAGAAAAGTGTTTTAACTTTGAGCAGTTTGGGTTCAATTTAAGAGCTGGAGGCTACAGATAATGTGACACAACAGGGAGGAAGAAAGTTATTTGGATTCTTTGTATCAGGAGATAGTCACACCTCAAGATTGGGTCATTTGATTTGATAGGTTTTCAGGGACAAGAGAGGGCAACTGAGAGCGAGATAGTTAAGGGTCTCTAGAGGGCGAGAGCCCCAGCCTTTGCAAATGTCCTAGTGATTTGACATTCTCTCTGTTGGGTGAGTGGGGGCTGTATGTTGGATGAGCTACAGGAAGCAATTCAAGTGAGGGAAGGGAAAAAGGAGGAATAGAGGGAAAAAGGAAGGTGAGGGGAAGATCATTCCAGAATCTTAGGCCAATGTTCTGGGAACATGGGATCAAATCCCACCATTACAATTGGTGAAGTTTGAACTTAATAAAAAAAATCTGGAATAAGTACATGTATACAATGTCATTAAGCAAAAATCTGACTCACTAATAGCCTTAAGGGAAAAAATCTGCCATCCTTACCTGGTCTGGCTGACACATTACTCCAGACCTGTAGCAATGCCCACCAAGCAATTAGGAATGGGCAAAAGTGACAACCAGGGACAGTATAGTCAAGAGGGACTGATGCTGTTCTCTTGCAGAAAGTGCTTGAATCCAGATGGCTATTGTTACTTACCCAGTGCCGGGGTTCAAAATACCTGCTTAGGCTGAAGAGGTACTTGAGATGGAAGAAGATCCAGTCATTGTAGTCCATGTAGGTACTGACTAGGGCAGAACAAAGGTTGTTTTGAACAATCACTATGAGGTGCTAGGCTTCCAATCAAGCAAAACCTCAAACATACAATCTCTGGATTATTACCTCAGATACCTACAAATCAGCATAGGGAAAATTAGAGGGATGAATGTGTGGTTCAAAGACAGATGCAAGAGAAGTGGTTTCTGGTTTGTGGGCACTAGGAAAGTGTAATCTATACTGATGGAATAGACTCCACCTGATCCAGCTGAGGTCAGTGATTTTACCAGCTGCATAAGTAGAGTGGATTTTAAACTAAATCATGGGGATAAGGAATCAAACTTGGCAAGATGTCATTGTTCTACTCTAAGGTCAAAGCTAAAGGTATTAATAAAGGAAATGATAGACAGTGATAGTACGGGATAGAATAGGATTTTTACGACTACACCGACAGATAAAGTTGTTACACAAAGAATAAACAATTCTTTTATATCATAAAAGAAATAAAAATAGAGAATTTAATTCTATTATATTTGAGTGCAGGTAGCATCCAAAACAAAACAGATGAACTGAAAACATAAATAGAAGTAATAAGTACAATCCATTACAGAGACACGGCTGCAGGATGACATGGCTTAAGACCTAATCTTGAAGGGTACAGGGCACCTGGAAAGGTCAAGGAAAGGTGGCTCTGTTGATGATGGTGAGAGTGCAAAATAGAGAGAGGGAGATGATCTAAATTTAGGAAACCTGCACAAGAAAAATAAAACAAAAAAAGTGTACAGATGCTGGACATCTGAAACAAACAAAAAATTCCTGGAGAAATTCAGCAAGTCTGGCAACATCTGTGGAGAGAAAGCAGAGTTAACATTTCGAGTTCAGTGATCCACAGATGTTACCAGGCCAGTTGAATTTCTTCAGCAATTTTTGTTTTGTTTGTTTCAGGACATGAAGTTCAGGCAGATATTGTAAATGATAAATGCAGGAAGTCACACATGGAGTGTTGTACAGACCTCATAACTAACTACACAGTAAAGTGCGGGCTAAAGGTAAAAATAATGGGAGCTTGTTGGGAAAGTGCAGTGATAATCATGAAAGATTTCAATCTACATGTTGACCAGACAAGTCAGATGGGCAAAGTTGGTCTAGAAGACGACTTCATGGAATTTTGTTTTGGATAGGTTCTTAGAACAGCTTTTTCTGGAATCAACCAGAAAGTATGCTATAATAGACTTGGTATTGTGCAATGAGACAGGATTAATGAAAGATGTCATAACGAAGGTGCCTTTAGGTACAGTGAGCATAATATGACTGAATGTTACATTTATTTTGAGGGAGACAGGAGTAGGTCTGAGACTTTTTTTTTTACATCATTCAATAAGGGTATTATAAGGGCATAAAAGCAGAACTGCCTAACCATATTGGCAAATGAAGACAAATGATATGTCAATAGAAACATAATGGCAAGAATTTAAGATTAAATTTCAGACTACACCAAATAAATACATTCAAATGAGTAAGAAAAATTCCACGGTATAGACTCATGATTGACTAGAAAGGTTAAAAGCTAGTATGATACATAACAATAAAGCATATAATTGCGCAGAGATAAGTGGCAGGTCAGAATGTTTACAAAAGCAAAGATAGGCCACAAAAAGAAGTAATAAAAAAGTGAGAAAACGCAATGCAGAAATATAAAAACCAGCAGTATGAGTTTTTATAAATATTTCAAAAAAATGGTTAACAAAGTGAATGTCAGTCCTGTAGAAAGTGAGTCTTCAGCATAACTCATGGAAAATAAGGGGTTGACAGATACACAGAACAGGTATTTTGCATTAG